TAATTATATTCATTCCATTGCTATTTAGAAGGCTTTTTTTCTCATCGTTTAGTGTTATCATTCAGTTAATGTTATCAAAATAACCATGGACAAACACAAACACATTAAGTGAGACCTGTAAATATAGTGTCAGAAGCACATTCCATTGTGACCTTTATTCTGTTTACCCTTTTCATGCTTTCTGGCTGATCTTTGGAATGTGGAAACAAGTGATTTGGCAGTGGTTTTTATGGCAATAAAGATTGCTACCTGGGAGTCGTAGGCTGCTATCACACGTCGGTTTGTTTCGGAAGAACAACTGTTTGGAACAATTTTTCTGCTTTGTCACCACAGCCAGATCGCTTTGGGGTTCGCACAGGGGGAACTGGTTCCCCATTACAAACAAGCTGATAGCATTCGAAAACAAACAACTTTCAATTTTTTTGGAAAGGAGAGAAAAAGTCACACGTCTTTCTTTTAGTAGTAAACCAGACTGAAAAATTGTCCGAAACAGTTGTTCGTGTGAAACAAACGCTGTGTGATCTTGATGTGTAGTAATCTTGAAAATTTTGGAGTAATGATTTCAAATACAACAACATACACCAAATAAATTCCATATTTTAAGCAACTAAGATATATATTTCAATGATTTTTTATTAGCTTAGTAAAATTGGATCCATAATTAAAATTTTATTTGATTTCAACCATTTTAATTTTTGCATTATGTATTTGTCTTCCTTTTTTTAAAAGAAATTTCATTGTTGCCAATTTAGAGAGTAAAACAGAACTCTTTTTTTTATTATTCTAATTTCTTTTACTGTTTATTTAATTATTTTAACTTTCATTTTAATTTCATTCTTAAAAAGAGATATAGGCACAATAAATATGTACAAACATGCACAAAATAAATATATATATGTGTGCGTTGGGCATTTTCGTAGATGTTCGTTCCTCAGTTTCAAAGATCCACTGTAATTTTGCTGCATTTTTGTTAAAATTCTTCTCGTGTATGCTATAATTTATTGAAGTATAAAATTGTACATATGTAAAATTGGCTTGTCTCCCCTTTAATTTAGCTGTTCAAAAAACCATTAACGACTCAAAAATTAATACTAGGTGAAGTATTAGGTAGGCCCATACTATGTGTACATTTTTAACAAGTGTACATTTATGAATATTATTGACATCATTGTTAAAACTCCTGAAGCATTCTAATGGGCATTTCTTTCACTGAAGGCTGAAGCAGCTAAAATGCACTTTAGCATCAACCAAACAAAAACTAATTGTATATTATGCACTAAATCAAAATTTAAACATTCTTTCTTAAAAATTGATAAATGTAATTCAAAGTTGTTGAGTGTTTCACATACCTTTGTGATTAATATAAATAACAGTAACTCTTCTGAAATTTGTAACAGAGTAGTACTTCCTAAATGATGCTTCTTCGGTTTAAAGAAGTATCTGAAATCAAATTTTATCAAAAAAACAAACTGACAGTTTGAAAATGTTTAATTAGACTTCTTTTGTCTTATGAAGCTGGAACTTGGATATTGACTGAAAAAGATAAAGAAATACTTTCAATTTTTGTGAGAATGGTTTTGAGAAGCCTTGGTCGGAGGTATTCAAATAGATGGCATCTGGAGAAGAACTAATGCCGAAATCTGCAGGACGTAGGGGTTTCCAGACATTATAAATTTATCAGCATTCAAAGATTAAGATAGGCTGGTCACCTAATCACAATGCCATAAAAATAGAAGTACCAGAAAAAAAAGAAAAAAAAAAAAAAAAAAAAAGAAAACTCATGTACAAACCAATATGCACTTGAAAGAGAGGAAGTCCCAAACTCAGATTACTACAGTGTCTGGAGAGAGACTTGTTTAATTTGAAGGTCATTAATTGGAAGATTAAGGTCAAGAGTAACACATTCTGGAATGATATTCTAATGTGCCCATCATGGGTTGTTGATTTTCTGAAGAAGACATGTATAAATTTATTCTGAAAAACACTAATTTCTGTATGTATTTATTCTACTATTTTAGTAAAAGTTTTGATCGCAGCTTCATCTAATGGGCATTTTGAAATACTTCAGCATATATTTAAAAATTTTTTCAGTTGTAAAGTGTTTTGGTTGAGTTGAAATGCTTAGAAACAATATGGAAAAATCATATTTCAAACAAGTGTTATTTTTGTTTTAAATTGCATTCTTTTAAAATTATTAAATGTAAAAAGTAGCTCTTCACATAAAACTGAAATTACCCCTAGTTTAGGACTGGGTACTTCAAGGTCATTTTCTTCTGGCTTCCTTTATAGCTGTAGTAATGACTACTGTTAAAGATGATTGAGAACTTTAATTTTCTAAAATCTCCCATCAATAAATTTCCCTTAATGCGATGATGCTCGTGTACATTGCAGTTGGAAATGAGAGAAGGGTGGGTATGACCTTGAAGTGCATATTTTAAAGTAACAGATGTGAGCTACGTAACAGAATATTATGATTATGATTAACGTGAATATTATGATTTAATCAAATGTAGTTTTTAAGACCATCCACAAATTTCACGATGAATGGTAAATGGCATAACTGTCTGAAATATGTTTTAAAAATAAATTATGTTTAAGATAACAAAATGTTTCTGTAATTGTTTTAAAAATAGATTGCAAAAAGAATTTTGATGCAAATGTAATAAGTAATATGATTTAGCCTTAATTATGGATAAGTATGACGTTGCAGCAGACTCTCAACATCTGCAGCCTCGATTGATTGTCAGTAAGCAATGTAAAGTGACACTTGTGACTGACAGTCATTCGAGGCTGCAGATGTTGTGCATTTGCTGGAACGTCACATTTATCCATAATTAAGGATAAATCGTATTACTTGTCAATACATTTGTACCAAAATTCATTTTGTAATTCTATATTGTGAGAAATAACATCTTTTGAATGGGGAAAAGAACAGCTGGATATGAAGGGCAAAACAGCAATAGAATAAAATGCTTACATGTAGGAGTATTCTAAAGAGCTTCTGGCAAAATTGAAGAGCCTAATAAAGTAGGAGAAATTGACATAGTCTTTTTAAAAAGTGGAAAAACAAATTGGGCCAAATACTTCTGCAGCAGTAGTTATTTAACCCTTTGATGCGCACAATATTATTTTAATATTTTTTAAGCTAAAAACTGTAGAAATTGAATATTATGATCATAGTGACAAAGAATATATGAATTTAAAAAAATCTACTCTTGCCCATTCTTCTGTGGGTGGTGGTCGCTCTGTGAAACCATCGCACGTCTAGGACTTTGAAACTTACTGAGGTAGTAGGGGAAAAAAATGTACCTTTCTCCGTGCACGTTTCGGATAAATGACAAAATTTACGTATTTAAAAAAAAAAAAAAATGTATGTAAGAATTGCATTATATATAATTTTTTTACATTATTTTACAAAGTAAATCGTCAGAAAAAAAAAATAAACATTTATGTAAATTTTTTGTAGCAGTGAAAATATAAGTACTTACATAATAAGGAAGTTTGGCTTAATGGATTAAAAAACACAGTAAAATAAAAAATAATAATAATAATAAAAAAAAGACTCATTTCCCCCCCCCCCCCCCCCAAAGAACAAATTTTTTTGTGGCACTGTTCAAAGCATGTTTTGTCTTTTTGGTACATGCATAGACCCACATTGCACGTTTCACACATGTATCTTCTGTGAGGTTTCTTCCTTGTGCTACAAAATGTACACTGCCTGGATCTAAATTTCACTGGTATTTGTCCAGCATTATTTAGTTTCTTTTCATCTGGCTTATGAAATTTGTGGTTTTTTATGCTAATAGGGGGGCTTGGTCTTTTTGGCTTTGGTACGGATCATTCGTTTCCAATTCATACTTATTGTATTCGTATTTCGTCCCAAAATATTCAGAAAATATTTTTAATTTAAATAAAACTTTAAACGATTTCTATTTTTAATTATAGCAAAGTATATTTACATTAAGTTTAAACCATGGTAAATAATTCATAAAATCACAATACTAGCTTGGGGAGCAAGCGTGTGGAGATCAGAGAAAAGTCTCTGGAAAAGAAAGACCTTTTTACTAGGCAGGTGCAAGTATTGTTTAGTAATAAATAACTCTGTGGTTTCAAAACCCCTTATCTATATCTGGGTAAAAATAAGCATTCCTATTTGAGAAGCAAGCAAACGCCATTGCGAAGAGCAGTGGTTTTAAGGCGCGACCACCGAGCCTCTAGAGTCTAGAGCGTTGTGACACAATGCTCTAGTGGGGCAGTGGTCAGGCGCTGAAACCACAAAGCAAATGCCATATATATATATAGAGAGAGTTTTTTTTATATATGCAGTTTAATTATTGCTATTTTTTATTGTTTATGATAGAAATTATGATGTGTGATGAATAACTTTTGAAATTTAAAGTTTTTTATATCAATAAAAGGAAGTTATTTTGTCTCATTGAAAACTAATTTTAAAAGGCATCCGATTTGAAGTACTAAGACTTAAAAAATGTATGATTTTGCAGTCATTTTGTGTTATTTAGAGGATAAAAGATCAGTAATCAATCAATTTTCACTCAAAAATTTCGGAAAGAAGAGGTGAAAAAAATTCAAAAATTGGTGGTTTCATTGTATGACCACTGTACGTCAAAGGGTTAATAGATTGTGCAGAGAGACTGGTGAATGTTTTATTGTAAGAGTTGCAGATAAAAGTGCATCTCTGAATTCAGGAACAGTTGGTGCAATGCTGGCTATATCTCCGCCATCTTTGATGGTCCGAACATAACCAACGTTCACGGTCGATGGCATAATACATAAGTATCAGGTTTACTATGTTTTATTATGAAGCCAAGAGCCTTTTTTTTTTTTTTTTTTTTTTTTTTTTGCTAAAAAAAAAAAATCTTTGACGCCTTTACTCTCATTTTACAAGTTTGATAGTTGATGCTACAACTTTTTTCTCATGCAGTTGAGAAAAAATTAAACATCAATCTGTAGAATGTTAAAACGTTTTGAAATATTTCTAGGTATCTTCTGTTCTGGAGTGGGTGTGGAACAGCCCTAATATAGTTCTTTTCCCAGGAGAATTCTCACGTGTAGCTAAGTGGAATATCCTGACAGGCTCTTTAACAAAAGTCAAAACTGGATCTGATTTGGCAATTTCAACTATTGTATCAAATGCAAATTCTCCAGATCTTCTTGCTGTTGGGTATTTATACATTTATTTATTGAATATTTATATCTGACATTCTATCATTATCTTTAGGATAATTAATAGTTATTTGCAGTGTGTATGAAATTAGCATAATAAATTATTAAAAATTATATAAGAATGAAATTAGATATGCTAAGAGTTTATAAGTGACGATATCAGTTCAAATATGATTGTATATCAAAATGAGGATATTTTGAATTTGCTTTTGTCAATGAATACCTGGTATTTTATTAAAGTTTCTGTGGAATTTTTAGTCCAAAAGGGCTCTTAGTTTCGAATTTACTCTATTGCCAATTGGCAAAATGTAAGATACTTAGCTTAAAAATTGAATCTGTCTATTACTGATGAATAAATTAAGCTATTTAAAATCAATAAATGCAGTTCTTGATGATAGTATTTTAAAAATTTTTGAATCTGATTCAGTTAAATAAAAATATATTTAATTTATGGTATATCTAATTAAAAGCATTAAGTAATTAATTAAGGAATTATGTTATATGTTGTTTCACTTTTCAGATAATTTTTGTAAAACTTTTTATTCAAATCTTTTGCAATTAAAAATTTTTTTTTCATAATCAATCTTTCTGTTATAAATTAACAAACTAAAATATTTAAAACCAATCACGGTTCTTGAGAACATTTTTTTTTTTTTTTTTACTTCTAATTCGGACTGGTTTAAATAAAAATATCTACTGATAAACTGTATTAATTAAAAGAGCCCTTTTGAGCAATCATTAAAATTTGAATCCTTTTGGATTTTTTAAAGAAAATTGTGTTTGCGAAATACATCACATGAAGCCTTTTTGCAAAATGCTGTTTTACATAAAATGCTTTGTTAATTGTGTAGTATGTGATCTATTGTTTTTAATTAGTTATTTATTTCTTATTAACCCTCTGACTACTCAATTTGTAGACCGAAATCACTTTAAAAATTGTGCAAATTTGTTTTTTCATATTTTAAATCTATATTTGGTAGCTGGGAAAACACCAATGGAAATTATTAAATCCAAGGGGGCTGTACTGTGGATTAATTTTGAGATGACACGTTTTAGATTCATATAGTAGTAATTTTAGGACAGGAATAGAATATATCCAAATAAAAATGAGGAATTTAAAGAGACTGTTGCTGAATTTAAGTTAGAAAATATTGTTCATTGAAGGTTTACAGTGTATTTATTTGGCTCAGTTAAGGGGAAAAGAATCACAGATCCATTTATTTGAGCATTTTTGTAAATGTTGCTGTACGTTTCTTTAAATTCCAATTCACATTTCGTATTATTAAAGGAACCTTTTTAGTATAACAGAAGATTAGTATCCTCACGTGATTTTATGCCTGTGCTATAAAATCTGAAATTGTTTATTTTTTTAATTTTATAACGTTGCCTATAATCTATAACCGTTAAGTAATTGTAAATTTTCAAAAGCAATTTTTTAATTTATATGTTTAAGACTGCCTTTCTAATATTGCACATTAAAAAACCTTTAATCTTTAAAAATATTTCTATTTTCAGATTTCACTAAAACTTTCAAAAATTATTTTAAATCTATATTTGGTAGCTGGGAAAATACCAATGGAAATTATTAAATCCAAGGGGGCTGTACTGTGGATTAATTTTGAGATGACACGTTTTAGATTCATATAGTAGTAATTTTAGGACAGGAATAGAATATAGCCAAATAAAAATGAGGAATTTAAAGAGACTGTTGCTGAATTTAAGTTAGAAAATAATGTTCATTGAAGGTTTACAGTGTATTTATTTGGCTCAGTTAAGGGGAAAAGAATCACAGATCCATTTATTTGAGCATTTTTGTAAATGTTGCTGTACGTTTCTTTAAATTCCAATTCACATTTCGTATTATTAAAGGAACCTTTTTAGTATAACAGAAGATTAGTATCCTCACGTGATTTTATGCCTGTGCTATAAAATCTGAAAATTGTTTATTTTTTAATTTTATAACGTTGCCTATAATCTATAACTGTTAAGTAATTGTAAATTTTCAAAAGCAAATTTTTTAATTTATATGTTTAAGACTGCCTTTCTAATATTGCACATTAAAAACCTTTAATCTTTAAAAATATTTCTATTTTCAGATTTCACTAAAACTTTCAAAAATTATTTTAAATCTATATTTGGTAGCTGGGAAAATACCAATGGAAATTATTAAATCCAAGGGGGCTGTACTGTGGATTAATTTTGAGATGACACGTTTTAGATTCATATAGTAGTAATTTTAGGACAGGAATAGAATATAGCCAAATAAAAATGAGGAATTTAAAGAGACTGTTGCTGAATTTAAGTTAGAAAATAATGTTCATTGAAGGTTTACAGTGTATTTATTTGGCTCAGTTAAGGGGAAAAGAATCACAGATCCATTTATTTGAGCATTTTTGTAAATGTTGCTGTACGTTTCTTTAAATTCCAATTCACATTTCGTATTATTAAAGGAACCTTTTTAGTATAACAGAAGATTAGTATCCTCACGTGATTTTATGCCTGTGCTATAAAATCTGAAATTGTTTATTTTTTAATTTTATAACGTTGCCTATAATCTATAACTGTTAAGTAATTGTAAATTTTCAAAAGCAATTTTTTAATTTATATGTTTAAGACTGCCTTTCTAATATTGCACATTAAAAACCTTTAATCTTTAAAAATATTTCTATTTTCAGATTTCACTAAAACTTTCAAAAATTATTTTAAATCTATATTTGGTAGCTGGGAAAATACCAATGGAAATTATTAAATCCAAGGGGGCTGTACTGTGGATTAATTTTGAGATGACACGTTTTAGATTCATATAGTAGTAATTTTAGGACAGGAATAGAATATAGCCAAATAAAAATGAGGAATTTAAAGAGACTGTTGCTGAATTTAAGTTAGAAAATAATGTTCATTGAAGGTTTACAGTGTATTTATTTGGCTCAGTTAAGGGGAAAAGAATCACAGATCCATTTATTTGAGCATTTTTGTAAATGTTGCTGTACGTTTCTTTAAATTCCAATTCACATTTCGTATTATTAAAGGAACCTTTTTAGTATAACAGAAGATTAGTATCCTCACGTGATTTTATGCCTGTGCTATAAAATCTGAAATTGTTTATTTTTTAATTTTATAACGTTGCCTATAATCTATAACTGTTAAGTAATTGTAAATTTTCAAAAGCAATTTTTTAATTTATATGTTTAAGACTGCCTTTCTAATATTGCACATTAAAAACCTTTAATCTTTAAAAATATTTCTATTTTCAGATTTCACTAAAACTTTCAAAAATTATTTTAAATCTATATTTGGTAGCTGGGAAAATACCAATGGAAATTATTAAATCCAAGGGGCTGTACTGTGGATTAATTTTGAGATGACACGTTTTAGATTCATATAGTAGTAATTTTAGGACAGGAATAGAATATAGCCAAATAAAAATGAGGAATTTAAAGAGACTGTTGCTGAATTTAAGTTAGAAAATAATGTTCATTGAAGGTTTACAGTGTATTTATTTGGCTCAGTTAAGGGGAAAAGAATCACAGATCCATTTATTTGAGCATTTTTGTAAATGTTGCTGTACGTTTCTTTAAATTCCAATTCACATTTCGTATTATTAAAGGAACCTTTTTTGTATAACACAAGATTAGTATCCTCACGTGATTTTATGCCTGTGCTATAAAATCTGAAATTGTTTATTTTTTAATTTTATAACGTTGCCTATAATCTATAACTGTTAAGTAATTGTAAATTTTCAAAAGCAATTTTTTAATTTATATGTTTAAGACTGCCTTTCTAATATTGCACATTAAAAACCTTTAATCCTTAAAAATATTTCTATTTTCAGATTTCACTAAAATTTTCAAAAATTATAGAAATAAATTTTAATATTAAAAATTGAAATTATGATTTAAGTAATGGAAAGGTGTAGAATCATTTTTGCGATGTTTTTATCATTCATCTTTGAATGAAAAATTTTCAAAAATATGTTTCAAAACTTTTAATGAGTGAAAAATATTAATAACATATTAATTTATTAAGAAGCTATCACTACTTAAAAAGTTAATGTAGAATATAAGAAGTTTTTGAGCTCCGAGATAATATAAGAGTGTGTTGAGCTCCGGGAACGACTGAACCGAAGAGTTCGGAGCTGTGCTCTGTTGAGTGCATCGCGAATTGTAGCGTGGAGAGTCTCGAGAGTACGTGGAGTTCCGAGGACGACCAAGCTGTACTCTGGTGCTTTGCAGTGAAGCTGTCTCCACCGTTATAGCCTGATAACCTGAAGGCTGTGTCGCTGATTGTTCCAGCGAGTGTATAGTAGATCTTCAATGACTGCAAAATTTGACTTTGGAGCTGTCCTGATTAGTATTGGCTAAATAAAGTGTGTTTCAATATTTCCTCAAGTGTTGTTGTTATTCACTCCAAATCCATATGAACCTGTGAAAAAAAGAAGAAAAATAACGCAACAATATATATATATATATACGTGGATATCATGAACGCGAGGGAATTCGCTGGTTTTCTTTTCTCTTTTATTGTTTGTAACGTGAAGGCTATAACAGCCTAGTTTATTTTATTTAAGGTTATGAAATAAAGATTAGTTTTATTTTTATATTAGTCCCGTCATTTATTTAAGCAAGGCGAAGTATGCTTTTGTGTATTGCCAATAATCGCCAATAATGTTGTGATATACGATTATCGCTTTGCCAATAGTCATGTATCGCAACAAATCGTTCCCCACACTGTCACACTGTATGTAATTGCCATATACTACTTGACAACAAATGCTGGATCGGTCTCTGTCCTGGATGCCTTCAAAAGCCAGGGCTTCAAAGGCCAGGACGTGTGTTGGTCATCAGCACTGAAACTGAATCGGGATTCCTCGCTGACGATCATATGCCTCCAGTTGACATTGCCTATGATGTAAGGTCAGTGTAGGCGTCTTAATGGACATCAGCAGAATATACCAGCATCGACTTGTCTTCTCCTGATGGTTTCCGTTGATGCCTCCCC